TGGGGAAGTTCTCCTGGATGATATCCTGCAGAGTATTTTCCAACTTGGTTCCATTTTCCTGGACGTCACTTTCAGGCACATCAATCAGATGTAGATTTGGTCTTTTCACATAATCCCATATTTCTTGGTGGCTTTGTTCATTTCTTTTTACTCTTTTTTCTCTACACTTCTCTTCGCTCTTCATTTCATTCATTTGATCTTCAATCGCTGATCTCTTTCTTCTAGTTGATCGAGTCGGTTACTGAAGTTTGTGCATTTGTCATGTAGTTCTCGTGTTATGGTTTTCACCTCTATCAGTTCTTTTAAGGTCTTCTCTGCATTGATTATTCTAGTTATCCATTCATCCATTCTTTTTTCAAGGTTTTTAGTTTCTTTGCGCTGGTTACATAGTTCCTCCTTTAGCTCTGAGAAGTTTGATCGACCAAAGCCTTCTTCTCTCAACTCGTCAAAGTCATTCTCTGTCCACCTTTGTTCTGTTGCTGGCGATGAGCTGTGTTCCTTTGGACGGGGAGATGTGCTCTGATTTTTTGAATTTCCAGCTTTTCTGCACTGCTTTTTCCCCATCTTGGTGGTTTTATCTGCCTTTGGTCTTTGATGATGGTGACGTACTGATGAGGTTTTGGTGTGGGTGTCCTTTCTGTTTGTTAGTTTTCCTTCTAACAGTCAGGACCCTCAGCTGTAGGTCTGTTGGAGTTTGCTTGAGGTCCACTCCAGACCCTGTTTGCCTGGGTATCAGCAGCAGAGGCTGCAGAAGATAGAATATTGCTGAACAGTGAGTGTTGCTGTCTGATTCTTGCTCTGGAAGCTTCATCTCAGGGGTGTACCCCACTGTGTGAGGTGTGAGGTGTCTGTCTGCACCTAGTGGGGGATGTCTCCCAGTTAGGCTACTCAGGGGTCAGGGACCCACTTGAGCAGGTAGTCTGTCCGTTCTCAGATCTTAACCTCTGTGCTGGGAGATCCACTGCTCTCTTCAAAGCTGTCAGACAGGGGCATTTACCTCTGCTGAGGTTTCTGCTGCTTTTTGTATAGCTATGCCCTGTCCCCAGAGGAGGAGTCTACAGAGGCAGGCCGGTCTCCTTGAGCTGTGGTGGGCTCCACCAAATTCGAGCTCCCCAGCAGTTTTATTTACCTACTTAAGCCTCAGCAATGGCAGGTGCCCCTCCCCCAGCCTTGCTGCCACCTTGCAGTTAGATCTCAGACTGCTGTGCTAGCAATGAGGGAGGCTCCGTGGGCGTTGGACCCTCTGGGCCAGGTGTAGGATATAATCTCCTGGTGTGCCGTTTGCTAAGACCCTTGGTAAAGCACAGTATTAGGGTAGAGTTACCCAATTTTCCAGGTGTTGTGTGTCTCAATTTCCTTTGGCTAGGAAAAGGAAAGGAATTCCCTTCCCCCTTGTGCTTCTCAGGTGAGGCAATGCCTCGCCCTGCTTCAGCTCTCGCTGGATAGGCTGCAACTGCGGACCAGCGCCAACTGTCCAACACGCCCCAGTGAGATGAACCCGGTACCTGAGTTAAAAATGCAGAAATCACCCGTCTTCTGTGTCGCTCATGCTGGGAGCTGGAGGCTGGAGCTCTTCCTATTCGGCCATCTTGGGCACGCCCCCCTGGGCTTTGTTTTCTGTGCTTTTCTGAGAAGACATCAGCCTTTCTTGAAGCTGTTCTCCCAACCTGGATTATACTTTCAGCTTCTAAGATTCGAATCCACTAAACACCACTTCCCATCCTCCAAGGCTCAACCCAAATGCTCCCTCTTCTATGGTACAGTGCCATTTTCTATCTCTCCTCACCCCACTTCCATGCAACCCAGTTGCTTAAACATCCAGGATGGTTTGTTTACACCTCGTTTATTGGCCTCATGTGAACTGCCTCATAGCGACACTGTTTCCGAGTGTGTCCATTGCTTCCTTTAGATGATAAGCTTGGGGAGGCATGCATGTCTTATTCTTCTGTGCATTTTCCACAGTGTTTTTCACAGTGTTTTCAAGTAAATGCTTAGTCAACTAAAGAAGGTGAGCTGGTCCAACAGTGATGGAATAGGGGATCAGTCTCATCAACCACACCCTCACCACTACTGTCTCCACACCTTCTTAAAAAAAAAAAATGGAGTATCGCTCTGTTGCCCAGGCTGGAGTGCAGTAGTGTGATCCCAACTGACTGCAACCTCTGCCTCCCTGGTTCAAGTGATCCTCCTGCCTCAGCCTCCTGAGTAGCTGGGATTACAGACATGCACCACCACACCAGGTTAATTTTTGTATTTTTGGTAGAGATGGGGTTTCATCATGATGGCCAGGCTGGTCTCGAACTCCTGACCCCAAGTGACCTGCCCCCTCTCTTGGCCTCCCAAAGTGCTGGGACTATAAGCGTGAGCCACCATGCCTGACCCTGTCTCCACACATTTTGATGTGCTTTCCTACTTGTAGGGGGATGCAGCCCAGTGTGGTGGAAGAAGGACTCGGCAACAAGTAAGGCAGAGGCTCTGGGTTCCTCTCCTGCCCCTGCCACTGACCTGTTGAGGGATCTCAAGGAGACCATCTCACCTCACCTCAATGAGACTATCTCTAGATGGTCTCTCAAATTCCTGCTGGTTTTAATCTTCTTTGAGGCTTTTTCTCTCTGTATGAGGCCACTAGGGCTGCTATAACAAAGGACTTCCAGTTCTGGAGGCTGGAAGTCCAAGATCAAAGTGTTGGCAGGTTTGATTTCTCTTGAGTCCCTCTCATTGCCTCACAGGAGGCATCCGCACTGCTGTGTCCTCACATGGCAGCAGGGCTCATCATCCTCAGTGAGTCCATGACACCTCAGATCATGATAAGCTTAGTAAATACCCCTATTGTCTTGTGGAAACGTTATTGAGCCACACACCAGTCTTTCTTTACATGTATAGTTCAATAGTCTGAGGTTTGTCTTGAATGCCTCAGTGGAACCAGGAAAAATGTCAAGATCACAGTTGACAAAGCTGCTTCTTGCTTGCCCAGCTTCCCATGGTATCGTAAGAAATGCTGCCTTCACTGACCTAAACCAACCCTGTCCCCACCCTCCAAGAAGTCTGGTGTTTACTGGTCATGGCATGTCAATGACAGTACCTGGGGTCACCCAAAAGACAGGCCAGAGTTAGCCTATCTCAGAACTCAGCTGCTGCTAATCTTATAAGAAGTCTCATCCCAGCACTTTGGGAGGCTGAGGCGGGTGGATCATGAAGTCAGGAGATGAAGACCATCCTGGCTAACACGGTGAAACCCTGTCTCTACTAAAAATACAAAAAAATTAGCTGGGCATGGTGGCGGGTGCCTGTAGTCCCAGCTACTCAGGAGGCTGAGACAGGAGAATGGTGTGAACTTGGGAGGCAGAGCTTGCAGTGAGCCGAGATCACACCACTGCACTCCAGCCTGGGTGACAGAGTGAGACTCCATCTCAAAAACAAAAGAAAAGAAAAGAAAAGAAAACAAAAACAAAAAGAAGTCTCATTCAGAGTGGAACTTAAGTCTACGGCCATACCGCCCTGAACATGCCTGATCTCATTCAGAGTAGAACTCATGTGGCCTATTTGCCTTTACCTAAGTGAAAGCAGGTGTTATCAGGCATTGTTTTTCTACGAGGTTGGGGTGGGATTCATGATCAAAATTCCTGTTGCGGGCACAACAGAAAAAGGCCACTTATTTTGTTTTTCTTCAATCACTAACTGTTCAGATTGTCTAATTTTTTTAGATTAGGGACAAATAATATAAAAGTTCACTTAATTTAAGACAGGCTAAAACATAATTTTTTTTCATATTCCTTTCAGTTAAGAAATAAGGACAAGGAAGAGAAGATAGGATAGGAAGAGAGGAAGGTAAATATAGAAAAGGAGAGGAAAGAGATCAAAGGAAAAGAAGAAGGAAGGTCAGATAAGCAGTCAGAGAAGAAATGGAAAAGGAAGAAGACATAGAGAGGAAGAACAGAAAGATACAAGAAACAAGGCAGGGTCAAGAGAAGAACAAAATAACAGTGGCTGAAGGATAAAAAAACATTATGGGATTGAGAAGGAAGAGAGCAAAGGATGATGAGAGAAAGCATCAATGGTCTTACTAGCTACCTCTTCACCTGAATGGGGAGTTCCCTGAAATTGTGAAGATGTGAGAGGAAGTAGCATCACGTGGTAAGGTTTGAGGATCTCAAGTCTTAGTGCCAAAAAAGCACATCAGCAGAGCTGACTCTGGCCCAGCCTTCTGGATTCAGTGAGCAAGTTATCACCAGCCCCCTTTAACAGAGAGAGCAGATGAAGTTGAGGAAACATAAATGATTCGCTCACACTCACCTAGTTAAGTGTCTGACCACAGGATTAGGCCACGGGTAAAGGGAAAGATGCATTTCATGCTAACCAAGCAAATGAAATGATGCCCTCAGGAAGGACACTATCATTCCAAATTTCACCTCACAAAGAACTTCTTGTGACCTCTTTCCCTGAATATTCTATTAGCATTTGTAGGGTTGCACACAAGAGAATTTCATCAAGTTTAGGGGATGCATTCCTCTTCGCTCTTCAAAGCTTTTAATAGGATAAAAGGATAACCACAACACCAGGGCAGGGCAATAAGCTTTGAGAACTGGATGGAGATAAGACCAAGGTCAGATCTGGCTCTTGGACCAGAAGTTTCCTGAACCCCACTCTATTGACTAAAGATTATTTCTTTATTTTTTTATTTTCCTATAAAGGAAGGTGATAAAATAGGAAAAAAATGCATTATACAGCAATTTATGGTTTACAAAATGTTTTCACATATTTCCTCTTAATATCACAATGACCTTCACATTATTTACTGAAACTCAGAAAAGTTAAATCATTAAGACCTTGAATTCATAGCTTCTGTGCTCTTCCCACAAAGAGATTTTCCTTCAGGTGAGAGAAAACTTAAAATGTACTATGTCTCCCTCTCATAAATAGCATTGACTGCAAAGTGTTATTTGTATGTTATGTCTATTTAAAACTTCAACTTTTTTTTCACACTTTGCTTCCTTTTCCAGATACAATGACTTCCTGGATAGTGATTTTTTTCCTTCCAGTTAACAGTGCTTTGAATCCGATCCTCTATACTCTCACAACCAGCTTTTTTAAGGACAAGTTGAAACAGCTGCTGCACAAACATCGGAGGAAATCAATTTTCAAAATTAAAAAAAAAAGTTTATCTACATCCATTGTGTGGACAGATGACTCCTCTTCCCTGAAACTTGGGGTTTTGAACAAAATAACACTTGGAGACAGTATAATGAAACCAGTTTCCTAGCAATCATTTTGGATCACTGGACTTTCAGTGGACTACCTAAAACAGGGGACAGCTTTTGGAAGATGATATCTGCAATGCTTTTCATCTTTACCAACGGCAAGCCTTTCTGCACAGAAAGCACAGCAGAATGGCTCCTGTCACTGCACTCCAGTGGCAGCTGTACTATCTACCAATCGTGCTGAGGACAGCACCAAAGGTTCCTCTCCTCACCCGACATGCCTGAAAACCACATGTGAATTTGTATATAATGGGTTGAGGTGTGGCTGATCTCTAGCTAACCATCACAACCCACCAACAAATGACCACAGGTTGGCACTGTGTGGTCTTTCACATTGGGTTGCACTGTCCCTGAAATAGAAACACTCACAACATCTGATTCCAGCGTGGCCATAATAACAGAAGTCTAACATCTCTTTCCTTGCTTTTTCAATATCAAATAAAACCATCAGCATCCTGCTGGACTGATAGCAAAGGATTTCCAAAACATTCATCTACCCGAAGTCCTCCTCTGTGAAGGCCGGTGGAGTAGGCACTTTGAAAACAGAACTTCAGATCAGGTTACCATGTCTATGACTCTGAAGTATTAGGCTTCAGAGAGTCACACTGGTGAAGCCTAATACCATTCACCTTTTGGATTTTATTTAATGTCAGAAGAGATGAATTCTTAAGATATTTTTATTAAGGTTGCCCAGGGTACAAAGCAAAATTGGACAGCTTCACTGCCAAAAACTACACTTTAATATTCTTAAAGTATCATTTATTTAGAGCAGTATCCCTATTGCTGGCAAGTTCTGCTTTCATAAAATATGCAGATAAGAAGTGTTAAAGGGGATTCAAGAATTGTGGTTTTATTTGGGACTGTTTGCATACTCACATTGGTTTTGTTCTCATTGTTTTTAAGAAAAAAAACAACTAAGTTTGGGGTTGTTTTTTGAAAACGAAACTGAAAAAAATTATATGTGAAAATGAGAATCGGGTAAATAAAATTACGTTTTGCATTTGTCCATCTACTATTTTAAGCTTAACAAAGACCATGGATGGGGTTTATTGACTGTTAAGCATGTTTCTCCTGATAAAGAATACAGCCAGGAAACACAGTGTTTCAGTTCACAAGACACATCCTACATTTTTCTTTCTCTTCCCCTTTTGCCACAGTATGAGGCAGTTACTTAATTTCTTCACTGTTCACTTCATTCTGAGTTCCTTTAATGAGATAAAATGTAAGCAGCTGACTAAGACCAGCACAACACCTCCTGTTACATATTAAATGGACACCCTTTATCCAGTAGCATCCAGAAGAGAAAGAAATGCAGAGTTCATGGGTCCCAGCCATTCTGGTAATTTACTTGTTCCTACTCACTATTGACTAAAATCATAACCTGAGTTCCTTCATTTTGATCAAGTAAGATATTTCTCATGTATAATAAACTATTTTCATTAGGATTCTAGAAATAATGTTCCCACTCATTGACTATGCTGCCCTTTCCCTTACAGCTTTAAATTTTTCTCCATCTTGTCTCTTCAGTATGATGAATTGCATCCTCACTTGTTTTCCAGGTTTGCTGACATTTTATTAAATGTCTTTGCCAGTCCTTGATCATCTTATGATTTATTTCCTAATACATTTTCTAACACCAGGAGCATAAATAAGGGGTAGACCATGAGCCTACAGTATTGTAATTTTAGCACCAATATGTGTCTCCCGTTCTTGAAAAGCATCATCCGTGGTCCATGAACCAAGTCTTTGGGAACCATGGTTTGTAAGAGCCCACACTTTGCTGTAGAGCAGTGAGTGGGCATGACAAGAGGCACACGGCCAGATGCTTTGGGGAAGGTGGCAGCTGTATGGAAAAACGGAAGCTCTGCATAGGTCAGCAACATGCCAACAAATAGCATGCACTTCATATCTGATAGCTTGGTGATTTACAGTCTTATTCTGTACTGCTCTACAAGTAGAAAAGCATTAGAAATATGTATTATTTTAGCAAATAATAGTCTTTAATCTGGATTGAGTGAGAACTTTTGTGCTAGGCCAAGCCTGCTTTCTAAACACGGTATTTCTGTGTGGTTATGAAAATATCACTTGTGTTCATGAACCATTTTCCATGACAATATAAACATCAATTAAATGTCAGTGCAGAATTTAAGAGGCCATAGACGGTGCCATCTCTGAGTGGGAGAGAGTGTGGGCAAATCATCTGCTCCACATCCTAACTATGCATCTGTATAAGACTGATGTCTTGAAGAAGATAAGAAAAAAATACCCTAAAAAGTCAATACGCAGCTTCAGACGAGTGTACAGAAAAAGGGTATGTGTTTTATTTGTATTAGACATCGGTAAGATTGTTTACATAGCTTTGTTTCATCCTAGAGGCTTTTGTTCATAGCTTTCATAGCTTTTTTTTTTTCCATTCAATAGGCTATTTCAGAAATTGCAATCGACATAAACTATTCTATCAAAAGAGTTCATGTCAACTGCAGTTGCTGAAATGCCTCTCGATGGTCAGGAGCTTTAGGAGAAATTACATTGATATGAGCTTTATGTACAGGTAGCACTATCACCTTTCTCCAACCCTACCCTCCACCCCAGGTCTGCAGCTCCATTCGGCAGGTCTCCACTGCATCATGAAGCCACAAAAGCAAGTCCATCACCCCAAGATTTATCTCTTAAGGATGACCCTGGTGCCAAACTGAGTTCATATTTGGTGATTTGCTACAGATTTGCTCATGCTACATTTTCAAGACTTTCTCTCACCTGAAGCAAAGACTTACTTTACTATCCTCAAGTTAATAAGCAATACAGAGCTCCCAAGAGTGCATGTGATAGAAAGGAGAAAACATAGTGTGTCGCCAATCATATCTAACCTATTATTTTATAAACGTCCCAAGGAGAGCTGACAGAAATCTTCCAAAATTAACCAGAAATACATGTAAGGCACATTTCTTTTTCATTGTTTTCAATGTAGCATACATGGGCATATACAAAGTTGCCTTAGACAACTTCACTCAAGAAACAAAATATTAAAGATAAGAATTTGTATTTCCTTATTCCCTTGCCCTCGTGAATAAAGAAAGGGAGAGCCATTACAAAGATCTCAATATTTATCTGCTTATATATTTGCCTGTTTATATGTCAGTTTTCTGACATTCTGTTTATGCAAGATGTAAGATGCATATTTAGTAATGATCATTTTCATTTTTGAGCCAGGAAAATGAAATGAAATTAGACTATTCTCTTTCTAAAGGGCTTTTCAGTAGGAGACTTCAAAGTCCTTGAGAAATACTTCCTAAATCCCTATAAATTAATAGAACCTATTACTCAATGTATTTCATTAGAATTGTCTTCAGGATATTTCCCCACATCCCACATAAGGGAGAAATAAATTACAAATGAAGAAATCGTGAACAGCAAGGCCAAGTTACAAAACTGCACATCCAGAAATGTGAACCTTCTGCTGTCTGAAGCCCATGGTGACATTTCTTACCTCTAAGCTCTAAGCAAACTCATAACTACTTGGAGTTATAAGCTCACAAGTGGCTTCAATATAAGAAGAAATTACTTCTAGACCACCTGAGAATCGATAATGCTTTTACTGGTTTCACAAATTTCTGAATTCATGATGCTAGGGTGTTTGATTCAGCAATGATTTTTAATGGAAACCATACCCTTTCCTGCTATAGGCAACATACATTTAAGGCAAGGAAATAGAGGTCAAAAGTCAGGGGGCTGGAGCTGTAGGTTTAGTTCAACCATCAACTGCTTACATGACCTCAGACAAATATCTTTATGTCTCTTCACTTATCTGTAATTGAGTTTCCTTAAGATCAAATCACATAAACAGATGTCTGGTCCCCTGTCTCTCAAAATCTGTTTTGTGGATAAAACCACATGTTGAAGGTCCAAGTGGTAAGCATCTAAAAATTTACATCAAGTGCAAAGATCATTCCATTCTCAATTCCCCTGGGATATTACACATTGTTCACAAAGTGTCAATGCAAAGGGCACCAATGTTCAGAAATCCAGTCCTTTGAGGGGAGGCTTACAGGACCCCATTCTGCTGTGAAAAGAAAGCTGAAGCAAACCGCAGACAATGAAGCGTTTCTAAACCATGGCAGCTTGCCAAAGAGCAACAGTAAGTACCACGTAAAAATTAGGTTACCTATTGCTGGCAAAATTTAGGAATGCAGAGATCAGGAAGATAACATGCAATCGTTTTACCACAGATCACAGACTGGTCTCTTCACATAAGTGTAGGTCTACTACTGCCTACATTATTCGCTAAACCAGACGTAAATGCACAGGGATGTCTAGTATGTATGAGTGGGTATATCCTGGAAAAAGTGTTGTAGGATAAAGAGGTAACTGTTTAATTTCCCCATAGAACCAGGATAGAACATGTGGTTCTTAACCAAGGTTGATGCCTACCTCAAGTCTTGCACCATCAGCAACACACTCTTTCCTGTGTATCATCAACTTCTCTTCCTCCCTACTCACCCTTTCCCCTCAGCTCTTGATGCTCAAATATCTCACACCTAAAAAGAAATTCCTACCACCCAACACCCTCTTATAGCTTCTGTCTTGTTCTCAAATGCTCTTTACAGCTAAACATTTTGAAATAATGATAAGCTCTTTGTCATCAACATCTTACCTCACTTTGACTTCTCAACCAACTGAATGCGGCTTCCACACTCACCACACCACCACACCACGCTGAAGATTAATGTCTGCCCTGCTGGGTTTCAGACTTGTGTGGGAGCCTGTTGTCCTCCTTAAGGTTACCAGGACGACAGTCCAATGAGTATTTTCCTTTCTTCAGCTACTTCACCTCCCTGGAGAATTAGTCACTTGATGTCCATTTTCTCAATCTCTAAACTCCTCTCTTGGAATGAAGGATACCATTCATTTCTGTTCTGAACCACTTCCCTGGCTCTTCCTTCGCACATCTTTATGGACTTCCCTCTTTCTCCTCTTGGCCCTTAAACTTATGTAGACATTTCTG